ACACACACACACACACACACACACACACACACACACACAGTCATGACAGACCATAATAAGTTCTCTGTCTGTGTGAATGACTCTCGCCCAGATCCTCAGCCTGTTAAATGAACAAGAAATGAGGTCAGTGGTTCCATCGTCGGCCATCATCCCACGGACATTTGTTCTAAAGCCCGGTATGAGTCTGTTTGTGGGGGGCGTGGCCAGGGTCGACTTCCTGCAGGTGAGTCCCAGTAAATAATCAGATCTAACCCCCCCCCAGCCCTCTTTAGTGGCTTCGCTCTTCACGTTTGATGCATATTAATCCATTATCAGTTGGTATGTAACTTCTATTGATTATTAATTGATAATTAATTTTCCTGTGCAGGGTCAGAAGTCCTGCTGGTTTTCGGTCGTGGCATCCAGTCGTCTCCCGATTCACGTCACAAGTCTTGAAAAAGCAGACAGCGTTTACGCAAAACACGCTGGGCATGTCCTGCTTGGGGTGCGTCACATGTTCACATGATCAGTCAGATGTTGAGTTTAAACCTTAAACACTGAGATGTGTGTGTTTGTGCACGTTCAGGTGCCCATGGGCGGACCGGAGCGGATGAAGGAGTTTCCTGCGTTGGTCCCTCAGGAGTTCAGGTTGGAGGGACGAGGTTACCTGGAGGCAGCTGCTGACCTCAAACTGTCATCTGCAGGTAAAAACACCTGAGACACAACCGAGGCTCTGTCTTCAGTCTGATCAGAATAAATTATAGATTATAAATCATTATTAATTAGTCATGATTGATTTTAATTGGTTGTTTCACTGAAACTTAACTTTCATCATATTATGAATTAATTTTGTGCAGTAGTAAGAGAAACTATCCGTGACATCACCAGTCTACCTTTCCGTCCTGTCTCCGAGTGCAGGTTGGGTCGCTGTGACGGCGGTGGAAGGTGATCAGGTGATACTGAGGTTGCATAGTCCGCTGATGGCAGGTTTCAGTCTGAGGACGCCACCGATGCTTCCTCACATTGTTTCTCTGAAAGGAGAACGCATCCGAAAATCCACAGCCTACAAATTGATGAAGCCTCCAGGGCTAATGGACGATGGCTTGTCGGCCAGAGGAGCCAAGGGGCAGCAGGTGAAGAGGAAGTGAACCTGCAGACAGGTGGACACAGGAACAGACTCACAGAACAGGATGCTTTTTAAAAATGCCTTTATTTAAAAAAGTGGCAGAATAAAGTATGAAGTTAATGTTTATTAGAGCTCCCCCTACCTGCAGACAGAGAACACAACAGTGATGTCAGAGGTCACTGGAAACTAAATGCTAACGTCTCAAAAGATTCATGAGGTTCTGTTTGACTGTTTAATTTTGAAAGTCACATCTGTGGTGTTTTATTTTGAAAGTCCTCTAGTTTGATTTTAGTTTAGGCAATAACCAATGTATAGTTGTAATTACAGTTGATATTAAAGAGTCTGAATTACATCATATGACATGTTTGATTGAAACCCAATGTTTTCACGTGGTTCCTGTTTCCATGGAGACAAGTCGTCACTTTGGCTTCTTGACTAAAAGAGAAAATATTGCACCAATTTATTTACATTTATTGTTTTTCCTTGAGCAACAGTTTTTAAAGGTTGATAAACATTAAACTAATTATTGGTTCTGACGGAGAATGAAATGTTTAATACTCACTGTTCAGTTCCACCTCAAACCAAACTGGGTGGCTAACAGACACTAAATCAACATGTGAATGACGTCACTGAAACAAACAGCTGAGACCTTAATGATTGTCAAAGGCACTTCCGGTTTAAAGACGGATACATTTAGAAAATAATATTTTAAACATCTACACATCACGATGAAACAACGTTTGAACAAGCAGACACTAACAAGTCAACATATTGGTGAGTTGCACCAGGGTACAAGTACCTGACGCAACCCGAGACAAAACTCTGCTGAACCGTTCTCTGACAGAACACCAGGTGGCAGCACGTGTTGCCATTTAACAGAAGTGAATATTTCATGGGAACACTTTAGATCTGTGAACCGGTCAAAGCTTAAAGTCAAAAACGTCACCTGCTGTTCATCGTGATGATGGCGGAGAACTGAGACTGACCGGAGTTATTTCATGTAGTTACAAACAAAAAATAAAACGCAATAAAAATGTCTAACTTTGACAAGAAGAATCAAACTAATTTGGTCTCTGTCAAAAGGTCAGAGTTCACATTATGACCTTTGATGACGAGGTGCAGAGTGAGTGTATACAACCGTCAGTAACGACCGTTAACTGGGAAGAACTGGCTCCGATCGGTTTTCAGACTCAGAGTGTCAGAATCCAAACTTTATGCTTCAAGCAAAAAAAACGAAAACCATCCAAAGAACTGCAAGAATGTTAATTCTGTCCTTTGGCTGTGTTGTCCATATAGTAGACGTTGACAAGGTGCCGGTTCAGGTGCCGGCGGTACTCTACCTCCAAAGGAAACGTACGGTCACAGAAGATGCACATGTGACTTTTGAGCTCCGTCGGTGTTGGGATCTCGTCGGTGGGCGTTTCTGGGTCATTGGGCATCTTCCCTGACCGGGTGGCGTTGCCATTCAGGCCGGAGTCGTCGCTACCCTCTGAGGCACTGTCACTGATGTCACTTCCCCCTTCGTGACTGCTGTGAATCCCCTCATCGTCCTCGGTGTCAGCGGGTTTGATTCGCTGGTTTGGAAGCACCAGTGAGGGCGGCAATGTGGGTTTGAGGAAGGTAGGCGCAGGGCGGTTTTCAGCTGGGGAGGGTGTGTCCTCACCTAGGCTGCAGGTGTGTGACACTTCCATTTTCTCTGAGGTTTTGTTCAGAGGCTTCTCCAGCACAGTTTCATCTGTTGGGGTTTTCTGCTTCTCAGGGCAGGGCTTTGTCAGTAGGTGCTCGGAATTCGTGGCCGCTGGGTTGTCTGGTTGAGCCGATGCTTCTGGAGCCTCAGTGGACGGACTATTTGCTGACTTCATCTTGTCTTCTGGTGAATCCTCAGGTTGCTGTAGTCTTGGGACTCTTTTGTTGGACGTCCTTGTCATCTTTTGCTTTACTGGTGTTGCCCTGTTGGACTTATGCTGCGTTAGAGTGGCGTCATCTGCCTTGTTGGACTCGTCTGAGGCAGGTTTTGACTGCAGCTTCTCAGCAGCTAAGGCTTTCATTCGCCTGGTCTTGGACGGCGTCTCAGATGAACACTTTTTGGAAAGATCTAATGCCTCTCCCACTTTCCTCTTTGAAGTTTTGTCTTTCCTCTGAGGACTTTGTGGTTTCTCTTGAGCTTCTTCGACATGTTCTGTAGTTTTCTCTGTCTTCCTTGATCCGAACTTCCTATGTTTGGTGAAGCTCTTGTTCTCCTTTCCACTGCCATCGTTCTTCTGTTCTTTTTCCCTCCCAGACTTCTCTTCATCTTTCACCACCTTTGTCCACACTATTCTTTCCTCCTTGGATCTTTGTTGGTCGGATTTCTCTGTGTCCATTTGGTCTTTGATGGATGTGGGTGGTGTTGCTTGGTCCTGAACCATTGGTTTCTCTGTCGGCAGCTTCTTAACTTGCCTCTTGACCTTACTGTCTGTGTTTATAGAAGCTATCGTCTCTGTTTCTTTAGCAGTTGTGTTGTCTGTATGTTTTTCGTTGACCTTCTCGTTTTTCCTCTGCCTGGTTGTGATTTTTCTCTCTGGCTCCATCTTGTCTTTTGTTTTCAGTAGCTTCTCTTTCTCAGATGTGATGTTGGATTTCTTCTGAGCCTTGTCCAGTGTCTTACTCTGCACAGAGTGGGTGGTGCTGGGCCTGCTGCTCTTTCTGATTGACAGATTGATTGGGCTCAAGTCCAGAGTCTCATCCTCATTTCCATCATCCATGTCAGAATCCTCCTCAATGCAGGATGAATTGTCAAACTTGCTTGCTCTGGTGTCTGAGTTTTGCTCTACGCTGTCAGGACCAGGTTTCTTGACACGCAGTTTGACTTTGGAGACATCCACGGAGACGTCGCACCCAGAGTGCCTGGATTTAATGTGGTACTGCAGGTTGCATTTCTTGGAGGCGGCGTATTTGCAGAGCGGACAAAGGAATTGACGAGGATTGAGGTGGAGCTCAACGTGCTTCTTGAAGTTGCTGCGGTCAGCGGTCTTGTAGTCGCAGTAGGGGCAGGAAAGAGGTTTGGGGCCATTGTGGACCTGTCGGGCATGACGGGTCACCTCGTGTTGATTGGCTGCCAGGTAGTTACAGCTCTCACACTTGAACGGACGCTCACCTGCAAACAAAAGGATAAGATATTATGAAACTGCAGCAGCCTATAGGTCATACACCAGAGTTTCATGCAGCAGGTGAGTCTGACAGTCACATCTGAGGACCCGTGTCTTTTGATTACTGCAAAGCTGGAATCATACTTCTCCACGTCAGCTCCTATGTCCTACAGTTTCCCATAACTCCCCTCTCTGATAAAGGTCTGTAGAGGTGTTTACATGACTCTGGAGAAGCATAATTTCAGTTTAACACTAAATGCAGGTAGAAAATAGTTGGCCATCTTTGTTTGATTCCGAAACAGTTTAAAAATAGTTTATTGTTGATTGACAGAATATTTTTCAGCCAGATGTTCGGAGTCTTTGGATGTTGTAGAAATATTCACAGAACGGTGGCGATCGTTTTGGAAGTGGATCCTGCTGCTGAACATGAATCTGACTCCGTACAAACAGTGTCATTCTTTAATGACCAAATCTAAGACATTCGACATTTTGATGTAATGAAGCATCATTAGCTAATAAATTACAGTCGTGTCCCTGTTTCTTTATTAAACCTACACAGTCCAGACTGAGCTGAAATACATTTGATTCTAATGCTTTGATCTATTCGGAATTTAGATTTGATTTAATCCGTTTATGTTTCCATGTTTTAAATAATTGTGTGTTTATAACTTCAGACCATGAACATTTACACTGATCTGTAATTCATGCAGCTTTCAGGTCGTGTCCACAACACAGCAGATAAACCACTGGCGACGTCAGGTCAGTTTTAAGGTTGATCTGGTTTGACGGGAACACGACTCAATACAACACAACAGCACACAGGAAGTGACATCAAGTAAAGTACTTTACCATCAATCCTCTGCTTCAGTGATAGCAACACAAACAAGAGTCAACAGTGAGTGACAACAACATCAACCAGTTAGTGGAAATAACACAATAACACCGCAACATCGGTAACAGTCGCCCTTCGTCTTTATAAACAGTCGCTCATCATCTGTATATAGGGGAGATGAATATTTGGACTGACCTGAGTGGGTCCTCATGTGTCGGGTCAGGTGAGTCTTCTGTGAACTGGAATAGTCACAGTACAGACACTGGAAGGGACGCACACCTGTACAACACAGATGTCACACAAACAGAGGGGCAGAATGATGCTCTCCATGTGATGAGGGAGATGTAGAAACAGAGCTACACTTCTTCACACAATGTCAAAAACAGAAATATCAGGGAAGAATTCGATTGCAAATATGACACAAAGGTAAAAATTAAACTTCATTCTAGGAGCAGATTTCTTCCAAGTATGTGATGACTTGTCATGAATACGTTTTATAACATCAACGTTGTGTCCAAAGTTCTTTAAACTATTGTTTTTTTAAAGTTTCATCTTTAATATGATTTTAAGATCGTATTTGTGCTTTGGCAACACGTGTCAATGTCATACTGATTAAGTTTCCTGCGTTGAAAAGTGAAATTAAATGGACTCACCTGTGTGAGTGCGGATGTGTTGGATGTAGTTGCTCTTGCGGTCGGAGAAGTAGGAACACTGACTGCAGGTGTGCAGTTTGCTCGGGAAGTGATTCCTCAGGTGTTTCCTCCAGTGGTACTGACTGACGGTGGTGTATGGACACAGAGTGCATTTAAACACCCTGCAGACAAACACACACACAGTCAGTACTTAGGTATGGACGTCGTTTTAAGGTTAAACGTAAGACGTTACTTTTTGATAAAGCCTATAGTTCTGGATCGGGTGAGTCCTGAACCATCCCTTAGTTATGCTGCTGCTATAGGTCTAGACTGCTGGAACAACTCCCATCATGCACTCTGCACTTCTCCCCTTGTTTCTGTCTCTGCCCCTGTTATTAATGAATTATTCTATGGATCGTTGATGATATTATTAATTACATCTTTATACTCTTATTGTTTTCATTATAACTTATCAGAACTGAAACCTGATGCTGTTCCTGGTGTCTCCCTCTCCCTCTCCCACCGGCCGATGTCTCCACACTGACTCTGGTTCTAGAGGTTTCTTCCAGTCTTTTCTCTCTCTCAGCTGTTCATTGTTGAACTGTTGGTTTCTCTATAATCTTTAAGGTCTTCTATGTAAAGATCCTTGAGATAATGTAAATTATGATTTGGCACTACCGAAATAAAATGGAATTGCTGTTATTCGACCTGCTCTCTGCAGTGGGACATTACCTGTGGTCCTCGCCCTCCTTGCTGTGGTGTTTCAGGTGTGCGATGTAATGGTCGTATCTGTTGGTGTTGTATCCGCACCGTTCACACCTGATCAGCCCTTTGATGTCACCTGTTGTGACCCCAGTCTCTCCGCTGCCATCGCCTTCCCCGCCTGAGGGCGGCTGGGACTCAGGGGTCACGAACTCCTTGGCCTTGGTCTTGCTGCGCCCCTC